GCCAGCGAGCCTGACGGTGCGGTCAGGGCCACGCGGGGCAGCCCCTTCTTGGAGCCACCGCCGCGGCCAGCCAACAGCCGGCTTCTTTCGCTTTGTCAGGAAAGGCCGTGGGTCAGCGTCTTCATAATGTAAATCCGCCCTTGGCTTTCCTTAAAGCCGCAGGACTCAAAGACGAGGGCTGATCTTACTTAAAAAAAAGAAAAAAGAAAAAAAGAAAACAACTCGGAGAGTTAAAATCCCAGCTAACTACCAGGTTAAATACGTAACAGAGTTAATATTCCCAACTCGGCACAGGCTTTCGGTTCCTCTCGGCTCCGTGTGTTATAAAATATTTAAGAACAGATTTTAGTAGGAAGCCGGTAACTTTGTAAGTTACCGAATAAAATGAAAATCGGTTTTACCTTTTGCAACGGTGTATTTTGTTACACTATTTTCTTCCACAGGTGTCCGGTTTCTGGTCATTCCAGATATGCAAGCATGTTTATTTCCTTCTAAGCCACACACCAAGTGAATAAAAAGTGGCTGAGCCCTGGTCTTTTATTTATTTCAGGAAGCACCCCCACCCCCGGGCCTTTCCAAATTCTTTAAGGCGACTCTAACCGAGTAAACGTAGCAATTAAATTGAGGACATTAGTGTCGCTGAGGATGCACACCGCTGAGGCCAGCGAGCATCCAGCTGTCATTTGGTCTGGGGATTCTTTGGGTTGATTTTGCCTCAATACCAAGAACCTGTGGACTGCTTTTCGCATGTAAATTACCGGTTTCCTTCCTGTGAAGCATTGCTGCCTCGACCTTGCACTTGAACTCTATCTTAACAGTTGGAATCAAACAGTAAAAAGGGCCAGGTTTGGGAGTGCACACACTTTGTTTCAAAGTGGCAGAAATTAGCATCATGCACAGGCCAAAATAACGTTTCGAGTTGGTACTAAACACAAGCCGCCTACCCTGGGGCAGAGAATTAAACTGGGTTCCTTCCGATGCTGCTGCGGCTGCTGTGTTTGGCCCCAGCCCGGGACCAGTGGTCACCGAGCGGTCAAGCTGGGCCTCCGGGGAGTCCTGGAACGAGGGCCTGCCCTTACCCAACCCTGGCCCCGCGTGCCCATTCATAAAAACACTGTCAGTTTTCACTGGGGCTTCACAGTGAGCCCCTTTTAGACGCGCCCTGGGCTCTTGAGCGCGGTGCCTGTGTTTCTGGCTCGTTGGATGCAGCATCTGTCATCAGAAGCACTGAGCACCGAGCTGTCCCCAAAGTTGGGCACCGCAGGGCTCGACCTTTCCACGGAGAGGTGCGTTGCATTTCTCCCGCTGTCGCTGGGGTGGCCACAGGGACGCGCGCCAGCTCGCTCCGGAAGGTCTCTGTGGGCACGGCGGGTGGAACAGGATCCGAGCGCCTGGGACGCGCCAGCCCGGGGGCGGGGCTGCTGCTGACCTTTCCCCTACTTTTCTCAGTCGTCACGTGACGCCCGCCCGGGGCTTGGGGGAAGGGGCGGGGCGCGAAGCCGCAGTTGCTGGCGGTGCCCTTCCGAGGACGCGTTCCAAGCAAGCAATTAAACTTGCTGCCCGAAATCTAAAGGCGCAGGGGCGGTGGCAGCGGCGGCGGGAGGCGGAAACCGGCGCCTGCGCTGGCCAAGGGCTGCTTCTGCACTTTGATCGTTTGCATTTTTTCCTTTGTTGGAAAAAATGTTTAGTCACTCTGCATGGTTATTATTGGCAGGCCAGAGTTCTGTTGCTGGTGGAAACCTGAACTTGAATTCCGGAAGAATTGGTGTTTTGAGAATTAAAATGGCTGTTCGAGATTGTTTGTGTTGGAGAGCCAACACACTTTAAAGAGGCCTCCATTGTCTTCTGCCAGTCTTGAGCTTTTCTTGTGAAGACTTTTTTTGTTGTTGTTTTTACAAATAAGCGATATAAGCACACGATGCAAAGTTAAAGAGGCACGAATGGGCCTGGACTCGTGGCTCACGTCTGTAATCTCACTGCTTTGGGAGGCCAAGGTGGGAGGATTGCTTTGAGGCCAGGAATGACCAACCCGGGCAACAGAGCCAGACCCCTGTCTCTACAAACAATTAGTAAGGCCTGGTGGAGTGCATCTGTGGTCCCAGCTACTCAGGAGGCTGAGGTAGGAGGATGGCTTCAGCCCAGGAGGTGGAGACTGCAGTGAACTATGATTGCACCACTGCACTCCAGTCTGGGTGACAGAGCCAGATCCTGTCTCTATTTTTTTTTTTAAAGGTACAGATACAGAGTAGAGTTCTCACTTGGTTTCCCTCTCCAGATGCCACCACTATTAAGTTTCTTTGACGACATGTACAGGATATGTTTTTTAAACAAATTGATTGCTTAACACAAGTAAGGACTTTTTTCTGCTTGCTAGCTTCAAATATTTGTTACCTTGTGTAAATTTCAACTTTTACCTCGTTCAAATGTCGGGTGAAGGTTGGATCCCCAGCAGGCCTGGGCTGAGGCCAGCTGCCTATTTGGGTAACTTGATAGCCTCAGAAGTGTCTGTCTGCCTTTGCCTTTTTTTTGGTGAGGATTGTTCTTGGGTCCAGGAACATCTTTGCAAGTTAACAATGAAAGAAATGATGCTGCTGAGTGAGGCGTGCCTCTCCAGGGTGGGCAGGAGGATCACGGTCACCTTGGAGGGTTGGGCAGTAGGGTGGGTACCGCTCTGCTTCCTGAGGGATATAGCTTAGGCGTTGGATATCAAGTTCTTTAGGTTAAGAAAGGAAGGCTTCATACTCTTGTTGCTGGTGGTTTGTGGTACCCAGCCCAAGAGCCGGAGAGCCAGCCTGCATTCTTCGTGTTCCCTAAGTCCCCACATGCAGCCGGGGCTAAGCGCTGCTGCTTCTTCCTAACTCGCCCTTACACTCACCTTCCTCTATTTCAGTGGCCCAGAGCAGACATTCAGATATGTGTTGAAGGAATGGCAGAACATTTGAGACATCCTTTCTTTTCCTTTTTTTTTTCTTTAGTGACAGGGTCTTGCCCTGTTGTCCAGGCTGGAGTGCCGTGGCACAATCATAGTGCACTCCTGGCCTCAAGCGATCCTCCCACTTCAGCCTCCCAAAGCACTGGGATTAGAGGCATAAGCCCCCTCGCCCTGCCCGAGGCACCCTTTTTCCACTCTGGATTGCCACAACCTCCTGACGAAGGGCACTGTTACTTCTGTTTGTGTTATGGGAAGTTCCTGTGAGGGAGGCAGGGAGTGGAGGAGCATTTGGGTCCCCCCTCAATGCACCTTCCTTCCTTCACGCTGCTACTGTGGCTGAGGACGTCTGGACCCGAGACCACGTCCCTATTTTCTCCCTGCAGCAAGCTGCTAGCTCTCTGTAGTGACGTCTGCTTTGCCCACCAGCCCTGGCTCACTCTGGGGGTCCTGTGGTCATCGAGTCACATTGAGTCACCACAGAGAGCGTTCCTAACGCTGTATTCTGACGCCCTGGTGAGGAGTAAACTTAATAACCTTGAAGAAACCGTCAGCCGAGCGCGGTGTACTTCTCCCAGCACTTCAGGAGGCCACGACGGGTGGATCACGAGGTCAGGAGATCGAGACCAGCCTGGCCAACATAGTGAAACCTCGTCTCTACTAAAATACAAAAAATTAGCGGGGCATGGTGGCGCACGCCTGTAGTCCCAGCTACTCGGGAGGCCAAGGCAGGCGAATCGCTTGAACCTGGGAGGCGGAGGTTGCAGTGAGCTGAGATCACAATCATGCCACTGCACTCCAGCCTGGTTGACAGAGCAAGACTGTCTCAAAAAAAAAAAAAAAAAGAAAGAAAGAAACTGTCATATGCTATCACTGAAATTTGGCTTTTTATCAAATGATTCTTCATTTATAAAAGCATTTATCCCTGATTTGCCAACTGTCATTTCCTCCGGTACCCTGAAAAAGATTTAATACGTGAAGGTTTGCTTTCCTTTTTCTTTCTTTCCTCCCTCTCTTCCTTTCTCCCTTCCTCCCTCCTTCCCTCCCTCCCTCCCCTCCTTTCTTCCCTCCCTTTCTTTTCTTGGATATTTGGTTTCATTTTTCTTTCTCTCTTTTCTTTTCTTTTCTTTTTTTTTTTCTTTTTTTTCTTTTGAGGAAGTCTCACTCTGTTGCCTAGGCTGGAGTGCAGTGATGTGGTCTCAGCTCGCTGCAGCCTCCGCCTTCTGGGTTCAAGCGATTCTCCTGCCTCAGTCTCCCGAGTAGCTGGGACTACAGGTGTGTGCTACCATGCCTAGCTAATTTTTGTATTTTTAGTAGAGACGAGGTTTCACCAT